GTTTAAGTAAGCAACAAATATTTTACACATAGGGTTCAAAGAAAAATTATCATGGCGTTACAATAGAACTGGCATTTTGTTCTATTCTAGATGCAGATTGAGTTTATACAGCAAGGAAGTATGAACTTCAGATTCATCCCTGTGCTTTTTCCAAACGCCAAAAAGGTAAAATATATGCATGCTTATAAACTTGTTGCATGATTAAGTACTTATTATTTTGATCACAATGCACCAGGTGAAATCTTAAAACTAAAACACTCAATTTCTTGGTTCTTAATACCCCACTAGTAATATTCCAAAGCTCCATTTTACATTAAAAGTTTATAGTTTTATGTACATACAAATAAAAACTATTTAATCCACAATATAAATCAGTGCATAAATGTATTTCTGATGATGAACATACAATAAAACTCAAATTGCCTTTAGCGTTGAAAGAATTTAAATGGAGAGAGACAATCTATCCAGGAAGCCTGCTTTTTATATTAACCCTTTTATAATTTTGTCCAGATGTAATGCCAATGAGTGAGATGGGCAAGATTTATGACTGATGTGAAGTGAGGATCTGGAAAGGGTGTGTTGAGAATATAAAAATAAAGAGTATAATAAATATTAAAGTACTAGGCTGTTCTTGAACTTTGATGGGCCCATCAAAGGCAAACTATAAGATTTTTTAGGACTTGCAATTTCATCTGCCCTCCTTACTTGTTTTGAAGACCCATTTGAGAATAAGAAATAAGTAATGCAACAGATTCTACCTCACTCTGAGAGAATCTCTTGAATTTTTACAAGGCCAGAAAAATTAAATGACTTCAAATATAGTTGAGAAATAGCGTTCTTGCCCAATCTCATGCATTGGATTCATGTTCACTTTTCATAACTAAATGCTGTGTGCACTATTGGGCAGCTGCACTTTGGAAAAGTGTGGAAATTTCTTTATATTTCCTTGTGTGACAAGATTTTGGAGCGTCGGTCAAAATTTAAACAATGTTATCAGTGATTATAGGTCTGTGAAGTCCCACTGCACTTCTGGATTTTAGTGTAATAAAATTATTTAGGCACCAATTTAAGCTCAGAAGTTTGAAAATACATCCCTGGGTTTGAAATATGTGAGGTCCTTTGGAATGAACGGTACCTCTGGTATTTCATGTAATCCCTTCCTGAATGGTCTCAGTCTGGTACTTACTTAAGTGTGAAAAGCTGGGAGACAGCACTGGTGGAAATTGTGCAGACCAAAGGCAGGGAACCAGTCAGCATTTTCCCTCAGTCTTTGCAGCTTGATTAGGGCAGGATGGCTCCTAACCTTGGGGCTACTTGAGTGCCCACCACATGAACAGACCCTACACCCTGGTTGCAGAGAGAAGTGTCTCAGGAGGCACTGTAGCTGCCTTTGGGCTTTGAGACAGAACAATAAGTTATGTTAATTTTGGCTGAACATTATTTATTGGAAGACTATTTAGCATATAGCAGTGATTCTGTCAGACAGAGATCTATAAGGAATTTCCAGGGTTGGTTTATCCAGCTGCTTCTATCGAAGCAACAGGCTCCAGGCATCCTTCCTGCCTATCCTCTGTTGTCCACATCACCCTTCAGTTTTTTGAGAGGTGCCTTTCTCATTACATTATGCAGATCAGAATTTTTTACTGCCATTAAGCTTTCTCCACGTATTTCTTTGCTACATCACCTACCTTCATCCAGCTAGTTAATGTAACTGAGGACGTCATGGGTGGAAGGAGAGCACCAGAGCCTGAACAAGCTGCAGTAATGAAATCCATAGGCAGTCAGAGAAAGTGAGGTACCTGAAAAAATGCCAAGTATATGTACAATTGGATGGTGTTGGTGGGCAAATTATTTCAATTTTGTCTTTTATACTGTGTTTTATATGCTCAAGTAGCAGTGGAAGAGAGCAGAAAATGGAGGTTTGGAGGTTTCATCTGGGGATGTGGCTATTAGATGAGTTAATCTCATACAAAGCACATCATAAAGCACTGCTGGTATGTGAAAATTAGTCGACCTCCAACAGGAAGAGATCCATGTGATCCAAGGAGCGTTCATTAGGAAACTGAATAATGAGAGGGCAAAAGCACAACACACAATTAAGGTGGAACTGGGATTTCCAGTTTCCCGTCGTACACTGCTAAAGGAGACATGGGTCTTGCTGGTTCGAGGTTTGCATTGCAGCAATCCACAGAAATATGTCTTCATCTGGCCACCTCATGACCATTAAACCATGACTGCCCCATGCTGAAGGCTCCCTCTGGCAGAGTGGAAGCAGCTGGAGAGGTGAGATGAACAGGGTTGATGCCAGGGAAGCCAGGACATCTCAAACTACGCTCTGCTGTCATAGCCCTAAACAGTCCTGCCCTCTGCACTAATACACTCTGCCCTCTTCCTACCACTTTGATCCTCAGAGTTACAAATACTCTTTCTATGGCATAGAGAGAATTTCCTCTCATCTTACAGATACACAGCCAAGTTAAAAGAATTTAAAGGACAGTAAACCATTTTCCCATTACTCCCACCTGTAATGACAGGTGTCATATGGCAAGGAAAAGCCCCTTTTTCTCTCTCCCTGCTCCCCTGGGTAAAAATAGCAGCTATAGTTACCCCTTTACACACCTTCATCAAGTTAAAATTACTGATTAATGTGCAGGTGCTTTTTGCACTGGCTTCATTATGGAGGATATTAAACGAAACTGCAGGAGCAGTTCTGGAAGAAAGGTGCAGAGTCTGTCTGGATGTTTAGTGCCTCTCTCATTATATCCCCACTTACCTATATAAGTTTCTTACCTATAACATATTTCCCACACTAATTTCCATCTTAACTAATGACTTCCCATATGGACCTATATCAAATCCTTTTCTGAAGTCCAGACCAACTATATCTAATGCATTTCCTTCCTCAAAAAATTGTAGTTTCTTATCAAAGATAGAGAGAGGGCTCTTCTTGCTTTATTTCATTGCATTTCCTTCTATAGCTCTTAACAAGATTTAGTACAGAAACAAATTTCATGTAACAATGGTATGCGCATGCATGCAAACATAGTCATCTTTTTTTCTCCCAGTAACATCTGAATCACTTGGCCAATTCCAAGCAGCTTTGTCAAAAGAGTACAATTCACAAAGACTAAAATCCATTCCTATGCAAAAAAAACCCTAGCAAGTGGAGGCAAGAAATCTTATTTGTGCTCCTAACGAAGGGAATGCTGTGGGATCTTGCCTCACACTGAGGTATCCACCTGGTTTAAAACCTGCACTTTAGGGAGAGCACTGACCAAAGCCTATACTTTCTTGAACGCCTTCCTCTTGAAGAGGAAGGTCAGGCTTGATAGATACCTCTGCCACTCTCAAAGCTGCTTGTTCAGAGGCCTAGGTGAGTTCAGACTAATGGTTGTGTAGGTGCCTGTGTGACTTACCTCTTTCTTCCTATACATAAATGGTATAGATCTAACAAAGTGGTTGCAACAATTAACACAAACCGCTCCCTGAGCAGGGAAAGCAATGCAGCTTCATTCCTACAGCTGTACAGGCCAAGGAAAAGACATCCAATTTGAGAAGCATGGTACTTGGAAAAGAAAGATTTGGACTGCAGCTAGATTGTTTGCTGGCAGGCAGGACAAGTGCTGCCCATGCCAGGGCATCCCCTGGCGAGGTGCCAGAGATGTGGTTCACACCAGCATCTTTTTGCTCTGTCCTCTTGGAGCCAGCTCCACTACCTTGACAGGAACTGTGCTGCTCCTAACAGGAGCCACCTTGGGAAAACACTGCCTGCTAAATGAGAGGTCCAGGGAGCAAGTGCTGGATGTCCTGGCTCCTCGTGTTGCTTACCTCCTTTCTCACTTTGGTTGTGTTCTAGTGTCTTTAACTTCAGCTCTCCAAAAGAAATCTACATCTCATGGTGACCATGAGCTGGTTTTGTTCAAGGATCAGTCCGTCTGTTAATTAATGGTATCATAATAGCCCTTCACCCCTAAACATCCAGGCTGTCCATATGGAAACCTCACAAGGCTGTGGAAACATGCAAACATGAAGTCTGAGCGAGTCTCTCTCCATCAGCCTGCTGTCACTCTCTAGGGCCATTGTGGTCCTGGCTTCATTTTGTTAATGGACATTAGCCAACCCCTATGAAAGACTGCACCTTTCCCAGGGTGCAAGGAGTGGTGGAGGTTTGACCCTGCTAATCTGGAGATGCATTAGTCTCTCCTCAAGCTCAGCATTGGCCTCAACCTCCTGCTCAGGAGATGGTCAGAGAACACCATACTTGGTGAAGGAAGGTGCAAGGGGAGGGTGAGAGGGCTACCAAGATGTGAAATGCTCCCATGGGGTCCCACTCTTTCCCTATTGATTCTCATTCCAAGGTTGACAATGTTGTGTGGATCCTTTAGCAGCTACTAAGGTGGCAGCCTTTCCCTGCACAGGACACTGAAATGTGTCCCTTCTCTTCTCAATGTTTATTTTCACAAGCCTTTCGATGCCTGTCACTGAGATGAGACTGCCTTTGAAATGTGAAATTAGCCAACATGATGGCAGAAGAGAAAGAGAGACAGGCAAGCTGTGAGATCACACAAAGTTCATTTATTTAGGAACCCAAATACAATTTTGAAGCCAAATTAAAATTTCTTGTTTTTACAGGAAGTGCCTAGAACAGACAAAATGAAATCTTGCTTGGCAGGGCCTGACAGAATCTGCAAGGTTCTGGTACAGATTCAGGAGGGTTTACAGGATTTAGTGTTTATTTTCCTTGTTTTTTCAGGAACACGTGCCTACCTGGCTGCAGAACACCCACATTTATAACTGGCCAAAGAATAAGAAGAACATCCTTTTGCGGTTACTGCGGGAGGAGGAATACGTTGCTCCTCCAATAGGCCCTTTACCAACACTCCAGGTTGTGCCGTTATGAACATTATAACTTAAAGTGTATGTTGAGCGGTTGCTAAAGGGTTGTTCCTGGCACGGAGCCAACGCTCTTCCAGATGGCTCTTTTTGATGACAGAAGACACTTTCTGCTAAAGGAATTGGTTGTCTTGGGTTATGCAGGCTCAGCTTGTTCTCTCCCATGTTAAACAACTATTTCCAAAGCTGATGGGGCAGAACTCTTTTCTTTAGATTTTTAAATAAGCTGCAAATGGAAAGAATGCCCAGTTTTATTTTAACATCTGTTTTTAACATATTCCTTTATTAGTCATAATAGCAAACAAATACCAGAAATAATGCTGCAATAAGAGTAAAATAAAAATTACATTCTCCTTTTTGCTCAGGGTTTCTTTAAAGATATTCCTGCCTTGTATAGCATTATCAAACCATTAATTTGTATATACACTATTAAATATTTGCCTTTTTAAGGCACCTTATATATTGTGTCTGCTTTTATTATTGCTGGGAACAAGGGAGAAATGGGTTGGATAACGCAAGTTTTCTTAGCCTGTCTTGCATAAAGACACTTGTCTTCAATTAGAGGACTTTCAGATCTGAAATCTCTGGAGTTCCCTTTCCTTACAGCTGGGTCCTTCACACCTGCAGCGTGTTGCAGCAATAGTCCAGAACAGGAGACCTAAATGCATGACTACGTGTGTGCTGTCAGTGCCATGGAACACTGCAGTATTTTTTGTAGCAGCCCTTTAGGTTCATTAGTGCTCTTCAGCCCTTATTTAAAACAGACCATGTCAAAGGACAGTTGGCGTTTGGAAAGCCAGCAATTGTTAAGAGAAAGAACATTGACTCCTACAACTTGTATGCAGTATAGAACAATAAAATAATCAAAGATGGAGAGCCATGGGGTGTTGGCAACCAGGAAGGCTCAACAACATCACGTCTGCTAAAATTTGAACATTTTTTTACAGAGCACATAACCATGACTTTGGTGAGGAGTCTTTGTTTTTTAAACAGCCTTAACCTTACTGAGGTAACAGTGGACAACTGGCTTGAAATTCTGCAGCCCTTATTCTTTACAGCAGTCGCACAATAATGTCTTGCTCTGACACCAGAGCGCTTCGTGCCTGTTCAATGCAGGCTGTTACCAAGATCCTCCTCAGCTTTATTATTTGTCACAAAATGACCCAAACACAGCTTTATAAAAAAGTTCATGTATTCGGTAGTCTGAAAAGTAAATTAGCCCAGAAGTTTATATTCCTCTTACAGTATCCAAATTATTTAATTAGCTTTCCACAAAGGTGATGCCAGCATGGTGTGTTGATGCAGGACATGCCTTGTGGTGCTTATGAAGGAGAAGTTTAAACTCAGACCTTCCTTTAGCATAAAGGCATTTCCTTTTGCATAAAGAGTTGCAGCCATTTAAGGGAACTGGTAGAAGGGTGCATTCAGTGTTGCCAACTCCTATAATTTTGATTGTAGTATTGTCTGTGCTTCTTACAACTCCAATTTCAAAAGGGAAGCTCAGCAACTGAAATAGGCTAATACTTGCCATGCCAGCAGCTTCCTGACAAAGCACAATAAAACTGTGTTAGGTGGTGGTACTTCTTGGCATCTACTTGCATGCAAGGAAGGGAGGTCTGTTTTTCATGGGAAAAATTGAAAAACTAAGCTTCCAATTAAGAAAATAACTTCTTAGTATACGGTGAGAAACCTGAAGTCATGACAGAAATCCATCTCAAATGGTCAACAAATGAAGACAAAAGGAGTGGGATGTGCATACCTGACCATCACCATTTAGAGTTACCTGGAGTACCCTGAGCATGTAGCTCAGCCTCTAGGTTGAGCAAATCTTCTGAAAGGCTATGGCACATCTGCCAACTCAATATGGCTGACTTTGGTATTTTAAGGTATCTGAAACATTTTAACACTGTGAACTAGTCTGTCTGAAATGGCTTCTGCCCCCATTAGCCAATTTCTGCCACATTTAACAGGGAGAGCTCAAAGATACTAAGTGCCTACGGGGTTTCATGGTAATAATTACCTGAGCAAAGAGCAAGCCCCAAGCCCACATGCTTTGAAGGGAGAGGCAGCAGAGGTTCGGGCCTGCAGAGGTCTCTTCCCAGAGGAGGGCAGCTGGCCATCCAGCACTCACAGCAGGCACAGTTGGCCACCCTGCCCCAGGACAGGGCTGGCAGGGTGCTGGGAGGTTTTTTCAGGTGCACAGCCTGGGCAAGGCTGGAGAAATGTGTAGGGAATGAGGCTGTATAAGTTTTGCTGCTTGCAAAGCAGCATATTAGGGAGCCCAGTTAAGCATTCAAAATGATTAGCGAGGCTGGGTAGTAAATTCCTTTCATCATTTTGGCTGTCATCCGAAAATATGTGCTCTAGATTTACCACAGATTTGCTTGGTTTGGGCCAGGGAATTTCATTAAGTAACTCCTGCACCACGTGATACACAAGGTTACATTAAATGGTCCAGTGATTATTTCTATTCTTCTGTTTCAACGATCCTTTTCTGAAAAACAATGTAAGCAGAGTGAGGAAGAAAAACTATGCTTTGGTGTTTAGAAGTACAAAGAGCCCAATCTATTTAACTGCTGGGGCTTTTTTTTTTTTTTTTAAATCAAGTAACAATTCCTGGGATTCATTGATCTTTACATTAGTTAGAGCATCCTACAAGGACAGAAACCATGATGGGGAGAGTGTGAGTAATGAGCTACCAGCCTAGTGAATCATTTCCCCTAAAGCTTTGTATTTGTAGAGAGACAGATGGTTGGGAGCTGTGAAGAGGGAGGGGGAGGAGAAAAGCTGGTTTTTGCAAACAGCGAAAGTATAAAGGACAGAGAGAAAAAAAGAGAAATAATCAGCAGGTAAGGGAGAAGAAGAGACTGAGAATACATTGGCTATTTCAAAACTAACATGTTAATGTTACAGTGGATTAGGGTCAAGGGAAAATAGAGGAAGGAAATAGCAGAAAAAAGAGCTTTGTGGCTGAGAGGGGAAAAATTTACCAAGAGCAGCCCTAAATATGTATTTGTAGATGAACTCTTGAGTCAGTTATTAACTTTATGTGCAAATAATGGAGAAGTAGCTGAAAGTATGCAAGATTCTGTCGTGCAGGTTGGCAGTGCTGCTGCCCAGCTGGAGCTGCCAAGCTGCAGGTACCCACAGAGGCAAAAGGCATGGCTTGGACAGCGACAGTAACGCGAGAGATTTCTCTCACAGAACCTGAACATTTGTAAAGTGCATGTGGGAGAGAAAATCCACTGTCCCTAATGTGGAAAATAAGAAGCAAAGCAAGAGAGTTACGTACTTAACACAGGGATGAGTGCAGCATTAAGATAGAGATAAGATGATTGAGAGACAGCCTGCTTTATGGCCTTGCCAAAACTCAGATGATATTAATGCATGTAAAGAATTCTTTATGCACATCACCTGTGTAACAAAAATATGGTTGTAAAATTTTATCCCACAGTTAAGTTAGATCGGCCTCTCCAGCAAAGGAAGTGTAAAGTGGTTCTAGTACAAAGTTAATTCAATAAAGCCTTGTACACAAGACAAGAAATGCTGCCCTAAGAGCCCATTTTCTCCTGGTAGGCTCTTAACTGCCATAATTTGATGCCATTTAAGAAAATAAATCAGAAGATTTCCCTGCAGTCTCTCTGAGACCAGCAATAAGGCAGATAACAAAGCTGGCTCCATAGAGCAGCCTCATCAAAGGGCGCTTTGCTGAACTCCTTTCCCTCATCTCCAGCCACTGACCAGGCTGTAGGTACTGGAGACCTGGGCATATTAAAAACAGCATCAGTTCAGGCAGCAAACTTGGGCAGTGTGGTCAGGGAAGCTCCCCAGTGAGATGTACTGATGGAGAAAAAAGAGTAATTACCACACATTAGCAGGCTTCTGGGTTGTCGGATTGGAGGCACTGGTAAAGCTGAGGGAGGCCTCTGGTCTTACAAGGGAAGGGGAGAAGGGAGGGGAGAATTGGGAGCTATGCGGCCTTGCAGTGCAAAAGGTCTACTGTGGTAATGTACACGTCTTGGAGAGTTTCCTCACCCTCAGCACACAGAACAGGTACACGTTATCTTCCAAAGCAAACATCTCTCCTCTTACACTTCGGCTTTAATTTAACAGGTTCCTCCATGCCTACACCTGCAGCAGTCTGTTATTGTTTAACCCATTTTTGGGAAACAGATCCTGCTGAAAGGTCATAGCTTTTGCCAGCCTCCTCCTCCATCATCCTTTATCATGATGCTGCTGCAGGGAAGCACTGCCACAACACTGGTTTGCAGTATCGATGGGCTGGCACTGCTCCTTATCCCTGATCCCCAACGTAGGTCTTCTGAAGTTCAAGGGTGGCACACAGCATATCAGTATCATTAGAAATGCCCATTGTGTCATATCTCCTTGAGCTGTGCCAATAGCCACTCACATGGGTCCCTGCAACCAGCACGAACCACACTGGCACATGAATATCTCACAAAAGCCACTTTTAAAACCCTCTCTGAGAGACTAGGCCTTCATACACACACCTCTACCACCTTGCCTACTGCTATTACAACTAATGGAGGAAGAAGAATACCTATATTTGTATTTATATTACAAGTTATAACTCACAGCAAGAGGTGTTCTCTGGTCTGCAGGAGAAGGACATCTGGAGGAAGCAGAGGCATCTATTGCCGTGGCAGACAGGTGATGGTTGCTGCTGTCCATGAAGGCAAAGCCAAACTGGGCCCTGTGGAGGAACATCAGAGTGACTGGGAGAGATTCAAAGCCTGGAGAGACTTATACGGAGCCTGAAGAAGCTAACAATCCATGGACTTTCATGTTATTCCCCAGTTTTATACCATGTTTAATGTACCCCCACATATATTTCTGTGTTAATCCCCTTGGTTTGTATTGTTCAGGGCTTGTCTGCACTTGCCCTCAAGTTTTCCCACCAAAAGTTGTTTACCACCTTGTCCTCCCCTGTTTTCCCGCTCATCCCCCACTGACTGGCCGATGAGTGCAGCAGTGCGGAGTGAGCTCCTATTGGTCCCCTTTCCCTGGACACTCCCGAGTTCCTCCTACCTTTCTCTCATTCCCCAGTCCCATATTCCCCTGAGATGTCAATCCCATGCTCCATCCTGGTTATCAGACCTCCCCTCATCCAAACCCTATATAAGTCCTTGTTTCCCTCAATAAATGGGCCATTGCACCCTGACCTTCTACTGTGTCAGAACCTCTGTGCAGTGTCGTATCCCTATTCCCTTCTCCCTCAGACCGTGGCAGGGCCCTGACACACCAACCCGTGGAAGAAGGGAGCAGAGTAGCAGCCGCACCAGTCCACCTCCAAATGAAGTCAAGTATAAGCTGGAATTGCTCAGCCCCACTCCAGACTTTGTCAGCTCCGAGCCCAGCCTCAGCCTGGTCATGGAGCCGTGAAGAGGCCACCAGCTGTGTGTCCCTCTCTGTGGCCAAGATCACTTGTAAACAAACAAAAAAATGTCTAAAGCTAAGTTTCCCAGCCCGACCAGATATGCCAGGTAGGCTACATTTCAAGAGCTTGCTGATGTAGATGGGACCAGACAGATATAAATGCAAGTACTCCCCATCACGGCTCTGAGCACTGCATGCCACTGCACAGATCCATCCAAACTGGAAAAAATGCCACCAAAAGCAAAGGCGGGAGTTTTTAAAACATTTTTTCTTCATTGAAAGGTATCAAGGACTTCTTCAGTTTCCAGAGGGTGAGAGGGCAAGCATGTGCTTGCCCACCTAACCCTTGGGTAAGGGGAGCTTCGCAGCAACCTCTGCAGCCACCAAGTCCATGGAGCTAATGGACAGATCAGAGAATCTCAGGTGATACATGGATGAAACCAGTGGATGTAAATCCCTGCAAGGCTGACTGTTGAGGAAGAGGCCAGGGTGTAGGCAACTTCCCCATACCTAGTTGCTGGTTGGGCAGGTGAAGTCCTCTCTGTTTGATTTGTACCAGCCTTCTAAGAATGGGGAAATATATGCTGTGGGAAAGCTCCAGAGCACCACAAAAGTGTGGGTTTTCTGGGGCTGCAGAAAAAGGTACTGTAATAGCAGACACTAGACAAAAAACCAACTACTAAAATAAATAAAATTGATTAAAAAAAAATCATGACCAGCACCACCTGCAGTGAGCTCATTCCGGCTGAATTTCATTCTTTGGATTTTCCACTTTTTTTTCTAAAGAAGTATATTCTGGAAATACTATCTTGGAGGCTTTATTCAAAGCTACCTTCCTTTACTTAGGCTGACAGTCCTTACAACATGTCTGTTCTGTTTTTCATTAGCTACACCCAGTGAAAGTCTGGTAAATGTGATGCTTTGTGACTGGCATGTTAGGCACTGCAAGTGCCAGCCTCAGGACTTCCAGCAAGGAGCAGGTGCTGCAGTCCCCTCTTAAAAACCCTGCAGTCTTCAAAAGAAGAAATTCAGTGCGAAAGACTTCTAAACAGGTAACATTACTGGGGATTGAGTGGAATGGCCCAGGAGTGGTGAGTGCATTAAAGAATCTTTCATCTTTAAGCTAGGAGAGAGAATTTAACCTGGCTTGGCACTAGCCAAACCCAGTCTGGTTAGTATCTGGTAGTATCCATTCTCAGTGGGTGTTGTGTGCACCCCACACATGCGCAAATGCACACAGCCAGATGCACCTGCCAGAGTCTTTCTCCCAGATCTTCCCTCCTACCAGGCTGTACAGAGACACTGAGATCCAGCCTCAGCATGATACAGGCACTAATGGTTCCTGAATGCCAAACAAACAGCACGCAGTGGACAACTGACCATTTCTCTTTACAGCAGACTAAAAATATCCCTACTAGCAATGATTCCAGATGCTCAGTACTGGTCTTCCCCATGCACAGAGCCATGGAACATTTGGAAAACAGAAGTTTTATTTTCCACCTTACTACTGCATTGCTGCAGACAGCAGAAAGTTACCCACCCACTCTGCTCCAGTCTCCTTACCTAAGAAGCTGAGACATAGCGAAGTGGTTGCTTTAGGTAAGGTTGTTGAAGACTTACTGATTAAAGAACTACATACATACAAAAAAATATTTATTTTTATGAGTCCATTCTTCTCCCAGCCTTACAAGATACAGTTTTTTCTTGAAGCACCAGCTGTGTAGAGGCTGAAACAGCAAAAAGCCAGCAGTAAGACTGTCCCAAAAGAAAGATGAAGGGGGGCTCTTTAAATAGGCACAATACCAACTCAGAAGACAGAGTATAATAAAGAAGTGAGAAAAGAAGAAGGGAATCATACTGTAATAAAATTGACTGAAGTAGCAAAACTAGTAAGCTAGCATAGATTCATCTCTTTTGGTGCCATGCTTTATTTTAAAAGAGGTAAAATAATTTAGCATTTACTATTTTTAAAATGAAGAGCAAAAAGATAGAAAAACAGTATTTTCCTCCAGGCTAATTTTTAACTTACTAGTTGGAAACCAGCCTTCTAAAGCATCACAGTCCCTCCTGAGGACACAGCCATACTAATGACAATTTGATATATCAGTATATCAGCAGTCAAGAGACCGACAGCTGTATCAAGACAAGACAGACAGGTACACAGTACATGGAAAACAAAGAGGTTTCCTCTAACACAGTGAATGAAAACGGCACATCTCAAATCCTCACATCTGTTGACTGATGTAGTCAAGACTCTTTGCTCACTCCAGGCTGGAGTTAATTACTCCCAGGAGAAATTAACAGGTTGAATTTTAAAGCTCTGGCCTGCATGGACATCAGTGGAGAGACAGGTTTCACTGTTCCCTCAAAGCAGTGCCCAGACAATGGTGTCAATTTTGTGACTTGCTTTACTGGAGCTATACTAGAGAAAACGCATCATCCCCATCAAACAAGCATAGGGTTTTTCTGTTGCCCATATTTCTCAGTTCTGAACACTTCCCTGGTTTTGATGTTTTACAGAGTAGCTTGTTTTGAACTGCCCAATGCTCTTTGCCCTAAGGGCAATTTTCAATACAAAAAAAAATGTTAATCTGGAGGCCCACATCAGACTCAGCCTGTGCAGCCCTACACAAAATCAATATTGGGTCTGTGTACTGCCTGTACTGCCTTCACATTTTGTGAAGAGTTTGGGAGGTAAAAGAAGAGGTGTAGCTGAGCAGCGCTACCATATGGAGACAATGGTAGGGTGGTGCTTTGGAAAATTATCCAGGGCATTTCTACATTAAGACTGGCCCAAAGCCTACATCTGTGGTGATATCCAAACTTGTCTTCAGCAGGTAGCAAGAAGACAAGCCTTTATGAGACACTACCTGTGAAACAGCATTGGTGAAAAAATACAGTGAGTGCCAGAAAATCTGGTGTCACATTGCATGTGACAGAGCTCAGTAAAATTAATGCCCCAAGCTACCTGCTCCCGACGGCCAGAACATTTCTTAGGTACATAACAGGGAAACGCACTTTATCCTACCAAACGTACAGTGTACAAACACAGGTTGCAAACAGCATGTCTGCAAGCTCTGAGCTTGTCAGACAAGTCTCAGTGTCTCAAAACCTTAGTGCAAGCTGGATTTAGCAGGCTTTCAAGGCATTTTGCATCAGCTCAGTTATCAGCTCTGACTATCATGCAGTGCTATCACCCCACCAAAAACATGGTTTCAGTTCTGATTTCTCTTTTTTCTCACATGCTTCCACTAGGAGATCTATAATCAAAAGACGAAAATATTTTTTCATGTGTTGTCTGTGTTTTACAACATTAGAAACAGCTATGTGGATAGCTGCCTCATGCCTAATGCTGAATATCAGAAGGCTGTTCTTATGAAGAGCTTAGTCTGACTCTATCTGCGATTTGAGTGGCTAACTAAAATCCTTTGCAAATTATCTGTCACTTCTTTGTAAGACCTGCTTCCTTTCTTTATGTCTGAATTCGGACTGGGGATAATGAACTTCCTGTATCATAGACCGGGATACAAGGAAACTCATTGTACACTCACCAAGGAAGAGTATATCAGTAAGTAGCTTATAAGGCAGCTCTGAAGGGTCTTGTAAAAATGACTTATTCTCCAAGTTTCAGTGGTCTGATTAAGTGGATCATGTGATAAACACTTATAATGAACGTCTTCAGATCCTGCCAGGGAAAGCCCAGCAGATAAAATGCTGAATCCCATGGCACTGCTCTATGCATAACAAACTGATTACAAAGACGGAAAAATCATGCAATTCACTGGATTGTTCTCCCACTCAGGACAGCACAACAGTGTTATACAATTTTCTCTCTGCTGCCCCAAATTAAAGTCTCATTGCTACTCAATCCAGTTCAAACTAGTGCTATTTTTCTCCTACAACTGACCAGGCAGATTACAGCTAAATGTAACTACATGTGAGCAAGCCTAGTCAAGCTTCTGAGTGATTTCTTTCTTATTAAAGAAAACAAAATAACACAAACAAACATGCCCGTGTTTGGAACTAGATGATCTTTAAGGTTCCTTCCAACCCCGACCATTCTATGATCCTATATGAAAAGAAAAACCCAACTAAACAAGCACTGAGCATAAACTCACAAGTAACACATGCTAATTTGGTTTATTTAAAAATGGCAGGAAATGTCCAAGTGCATCCCTTGCAGTTTTCGCCAGCCCAATACCTGTAGGACCAATGACCAGGATAATATATCGGCATCTGCTCTGTTCTCCCCTTTCTCCCCTCACCCCCAGTTAGCAGCTTGTTGTTCCTCCTCCTTGGCAGCACAGCCTCTCCTCTCCCCCCCCCCCACTAAGTTGTTTCTGCCTAATAAGCTACAGTGTCTCCACAAAAGGCATCCTGGCTCTGTCATGAAGCATGGGATGTATGTACCTGTCCCTGCCTTGTCACTCAGCATAAATTACAATAATAAATTATATAAATCCTTGACTCAGGTGTCAGCTGCAGCATGTGTGACAGATGGGGTGCCTTTAAGAAAGTCTTCTTCAGGTCCTGTGACTGAGATGAAGCAAAGACCCCAATAGCCTCTTTTCCTTGACTAGCAATACCCACGTGCTCCCGCAACCATGGGCAACAGCTGTTTGCACCAGGATGTGCACACTGGTCTCATCCAATACCCAATTAAAATATTTGTCAGGACTGTGCTACAGAGAAGAGGATTTGGAGCTCTGTTGGGTCTTTGAGGTGTCAGGGTGGAGGAGGCAACTGTTTCAGCTGGGCATGGTCCTGCTGTCAGGGAGCTTGTGGAGAGATATGCGAGTGCTAGGCTCTGAGTAAGGTAATTGGTTTTACTTGGGACCCTTAATTCAATAAAGGGGTGGTGAGGGCATGAACAATCCCATTCCTTTAAGCTACTTACTGGCTGGTTGTCCTCAAGTTCAGATACCAGACTTTACAAGAGTGGTAGCAGAGATGGCAGAAGCTGCAAAGCCAGCCCACAGTAATAATGCCTGTCCTCAGGCTACCTCACTCCATATCATCCCACTGAGTAATCAGCTCTTTACTGTCACTGGGTGAATGGCCTTAAAAGGAATTGCTTTGGGAGTTCAGGTGTCAGTAGAAACAAGAGGGTAAAGGGTGGTAAACAGCATGTCACCTCAGCAGTTCTGTCTTGCATGTCACCAGTAGGTCTGACAGCTGTCAATGACGCACAGTGGACCAAACTGTCACTGCTAATTCCTCCACCACACTTACGGCCCTCACATTTCCCTCCTGCTCAGCAGCCAGTACGCACAAGGCAAGAGTGCCCAGCCTGGCACAGAAGAAGTGCAATCACTTGTGCACCATCACTAGAAAGGCTGCTTTGGCACAGCACTTCGGAGAATGATCTTGGTTGTGGCTGGCATCAAACTGTGCTTCTCACTCCACCTGCTTCTCATGCAGAAGAGCAGCCCCACATCACCCCTCCATTGTACTGAGCAGAGTGTTAAATCACCTCACTGACTACCAACTATTAAACACTTGGATATGCACAGGCATGGAGATGACCTTGAAGTGAGAGGCTGCAGTTTGCACTGACACTAGAGCTGACCTAGAGGCAAGCCTAGGAGCATCCTTGAAGTACAATAACAACATTTTAACAGGCTAGATGAGTTGACAGCCTCATCACACCTACTGTAGATGTTGTAAAGAGACCTAGGGAGAAACATTTTCCAGATGTAGAACACATTCGCGAATACCAAACTGACTTGTCAGATGAATTAGAATATCAGAGAGGTGGCAGGATGCTTTGCTCCCTGGCTTGACCCATCAGAATTCTTATCCATCAGTTCTGTTTTGAGGAATGCTCCAGCAATTATGGCACCTCACAGAAGTTCTAGGGGATGGTAAAAACTGTTTGTGGTTTTTTTCAAACAGCCAACCTGCAAACACAACTGCAGTTTAAAATGTACATCAAAACCTTTGTATATCAGATTTCCTATACCATTACTAGCCATTAAGTCTCCCCAGGTCATGTTATTTTCCAATTAATGGGATTGCACAGGTGTAATTGAAGGGATAATATACCTATCAGCTCTCATCAATTGTGATGGCACATGAGAAAGAGGGCCTTATCTTGATTTACTTTACAGCCAAAGGGAATTCATGCATCTAACATGGAGGAGTAAAGGTATCTTTAGAGCACGCTTTGTATGCAATCAGTAAGAATCAATAACAGTAACAATACTGCTATTAGACTCTGTCATCAGAGAACAGTGGAATTTTAAATATGTAAACCAAGCAAAAATTTGCAATTTCATTTGTTTCCAGTTGACAAAGGAGTCTTCCTCCTACATGACAAAACAGATACAGGTATTTGTGGTTTAAACTACAGATGCTAACCTAGCCACAATCTTGTCTGAAACTGTGAATCAATTTGGAGTACCATTCAGCAGCTGCTTTTTTACTGGTCTCATACTTGTATGTATCAAATGCTGTCCATAGATTTCCCGTGTAGGCCTGTCCCCAGGGACTGAAAACCTGGTGTACACAACTCATAAATAAAGTTAGAGAGACATGAGCAAGAAAAAGCATAGCATACTTCTGGGAATCACTCCAGGAAAATAAATATGCAAGATGGCACATCACCCTACACAAAGCTGGCAAAGGTAAAACAACATTTGGGTTCAATCATTATGGAAAAGAAAATAATTCTGTGTTCATATGTACTCGCTGATTTTCCACTGAGACAAAAGGGTAAAGGTAAGACCGGAGTTTGACTCACAAGAAAACAAATCTGCTGGTAATAGTTGTGCCATATTTAACTAAATTGGGGGACCCAGTCTGATTTTGATCCCTGGCTTTCAGAAGGCCTGTGAATTCTCTAGAAATGATGACCATTTCCTATCTGTGTGGTTCACGACTCGTCCTATGGCATGTGCTTGCTTGTAAATTCTACAAACCTTTCCCTCAACAGTTACATTGCATGACTTTATGCAATAGTATTAAAACATGGTAAAGAACAAAAGTGGAACCATTGTCTTGCTTTCCTATAATGGATTTGGATGAACATGCCCTCCTGTTTCCATCTGTGCTTCACTCTTCCTTTTTTTTCTCGAGAATAGGATATTACATTTACTGGCATTGACTTTTCCCTCAGAGTTTATTATTTTGTTCCACTTCTGCTCGTCTCTCATTTTCCCAGTCTTTTTTTTTTTTTTTTGGTATAGTCTCCTGAATCCTTATTTTCCTATCAAGTTTCACACTATCTAATCCCCAGTTTAGTTTACTGTTGTTATTTATGAGATACTGAAAAGTTTAAGCCACTGTATATAAGGTACGACAATAATATGATTACACAGAAATGCTCATTATTTAAGGGATGAATTGGCAGAAGACACATCCTGCAACTATGCAGATTGCAGACAGATGTCTACCTGTGTTTTGCTTGGCTGTGATTCGGAAATGTACAGAATTCTTCAAGAGCAAATGTTCATGCGCTCTTGCCAATTTTTATTTCCTTGTGGATTGCTCTGTAGTTTTGCTTTTAGGGATGATGGCTTACCATTGTCTTATAACTGTTTGCCTGGTAATATCTGTTGGTAATTTTGATTGTGTTCTTAAATATTACTCATGACAGTAGAATTGCACACTCACTGTGCGGATATAGCTTTAAAACAAGCTATTTATTGGTGTCGCACTCCATTATGTGTTTTGAAATTTGAAGTTTTAGGACAATATCTAAAAACTAGTAACTCACACTATTTCAAATGTGGTTTGTTCAGGTACTCACCCACTCTGTGTGTGCATTTGAAAATTACTTTATCCTCTGTATGACTGAACATGCTTATGCTATCTGGTAATGCTACTTTCACTACAAAAAGAACCTGTAGGAAAGCTTTTTATTCCTCTCATTGAATGAAAAGTTACTTACAGTATGGTACTAGGAGTTCGATGAGATATATGCCTATCTGGTGGATTTGCACATTTGTTTGTGGGACTGCAAGGCCTGATATAGCTATATAGCACATGTAAGCCTTGAGGCACCTTGAGATTTTAATCTGGGCAATAGCACACTCAGTGCACCTTATGTGTATGAGAATCCCAAGGGCGCAGAAGTGCAACGAAAAGAGAATGGAGGCTGTGTGGGATATGTGCACATCTAGCACTGATTGCTACTTATGGGTAAATCATTTTTTGTTTTCCTCCTAGCAGTTATCCACATGCAGTATATATCTGTATTTCCACTGCAGCATATGTAACAACAATCACTAGTTTCTTTCATGGTAGACTGAGATTCTTGAGAAGTTGCAGTTGGAACAACACTTTACATTGGAACAACACTTTACATTGTAACTCATCAAGAGTTATTAATATGTGTAACATCTGTTGAATTGGGAAGACAGAGCTTCAGGATGATGCTCTGTAGATGTCTAAGATAAATAATTTTCTTGCTGAAATTGTCAGCACAGATGCTGCTCTGACAGACTATGATCTAACGGTTTACCTGGAATTGCCACAACAATCTTAAAACAGACTTGCAGTCTGCAATATAATTAGGTTGGAAAAGTCAAGTAAATATCTTAAAATACTTCACTTTTTGTAGTTAACAGGGCAGCTGTTACATCTCAAGTGTGGAGAGATGACTGTTTCCAATAGCATGTGGTTTGATAACAGAATACAGAAAGACGAATTTTCTAGTTTAGATGGAGCTCCGTAACCACCATTGGCAGAAACTGAAGGATTCCATTAAGTGTTCTGTATCCATTCAGAGGGGAGAGATCAGCTGTACTTTTCCACCTCTCTTGTCACTAGAGCAGTGGTCTTCAGAAGATTATCCTACCTGACAAAAGTCATCAAGGGCATAAAATTTTTGTCAAGGATAGGGACTTCTGGGAGCTGATGGGTCCAGACACAGGTTCCAATTTGAGGTCGGAGAACTAGCATATTTACCTTGGCTGGACACTTCAAGAACCTGGAAGAATCCAGTGAGGTGGGTGAAGTCAATGGATATAGATTGCTGCAGGTTCAACTTCTTTCAGCTTTTCAGGACTGACCACTGCTCCAAAGCCAGAAGACAGTTTTAAGTGTCACATAGCAATTCCTTAAATGTACTCAAGATACTTCATGGGTCTAGGAGGAAAATCTCATTTTCTTTGCCAATTAGATTTACCTCAGTGACGTCTTCTTACCATTCTGCAAGACTGAGTGAAAAGTGGCACTTCCTATTCTTAAAAGCCACCCAGAATGCTGGCTGAGAGGGAACCACTTTAAGTTCAGATACCAAACCAATCCTTTGTTTGGTGGTTCCAAATGCTAGAAGTCCATCAGTTCTGCAGTCAGTCTGTTCAGGATATCTGGAAAACAGGACTCTTTCGGCAAGTAGTGATTAAAAAGGTTACTTTTGCTGAGTCTTACTTGATTTTGCCAAGTAATCTGGGAACTAAAAGGATTGACAGGAAAGAATAAAGGAAACAGCTGTCCCTGGAACAAGGAAATAATTGTCTTATCGACTTGTGCTGTGAAGATGTCTATTCAGGACAACTCTATTTTGAGAAGATGCCTTCAACAGTTTTTGATTTCCTGTCTGTGTTTTGAAGAGGAGTATCTGAAATCTTTTAAACAGATATTCTGCAGACTAAGCACAACACAAAAAAAGAAGATTTTATGCAAGTGCCATAATTTAATTTCTTCCTGGCACAGAGAGTAATGCCACATTCTCACACTATTGACATGAAGCCATATAAGAAGATTGCTAACAATCATGATGACTTTTTTGCTTTAGATATTTGTCCACTGGAAACTGGTTTAAGGGTCTGACTTAACTGTAAAGAGGCCACCCAAAAACTATCAGATGACAACTTTCTGTCATGACTTGTGAGGTGTCTATATCCTATGAGTTACTAACCTATATCCTACGAGTTACTCATTTCCTACAAGAAATTCATTTATACTATCATATAACACAATAGCAACCAGCTATTCTGCACTGAAATACTTGCCTGCTTTCTAATGTTTCAGTCTAGCAAGCACAATTCTCCTGAATTGACAGAATTTTTAGAGTAAAATGAGAGGTAAGATTCTGTGGTTTGGGGAAGTCAAAGGTAAATTCACTGCCTGATTCAAACGCAAATTTCCTTGTCACCATGTGCAAACTGATGGGTTTCTGTAGCTCACTGTCTCCAACAGGAAAAATTAAAAAAAAATAGAGGAATGAGTTGATTTGTATTTGTGAAATATTCAGCTTTTCTTCCCACTTGACTTGTAAGAAACTGAGTGATGCACTTGAGGTATGTTTTTTAATCCTCACTACTTGAAAGCGCCACCTCTGGAAGCAAATGAGACCACCACAGTTGTGTCTACACTGCAAGGGAATCAAAAGTCCTTTGGACCAGAAGTAAGCATGGTATAATCCTCCTCTCCAAGCCTTATCCATTCCAGATACATTATGGCAGCAAGGACCACCCTCAGACTGCTTGTGACCATTAAGATGCTACTGTATTAACCCACCAAACTCACTCAGGTACCCAACATGCTCTAAGGGAATGGAAATATGCCCATATCTGAGGTCAATTCTATATCCTCACAGTACAAAATGTGGTTAAGTGTGATTTTCAAAAAGGTTTCAGGTCTGTTTTCATTGGAGCACAGATCAAGGTCTTAAGTGATTATGCAAATGTAGTAATTATGTAAATCTATAAGACTTATGACAATTGGGATTAAGGCTGAGAATGTAAATGTAGACCTTGCTATCTTGCATTTTGTGAGAGAATTTTTATTTTTCTGAACAATGTAACATATGAAAACCTCAATTCCAACACAGATCTGTACTAACAAATGAGGTTGAGAGGCAGTAGGATAAAGGTTAAGCGTAATTTGTTATTTACAGTTTTCAAAATCATATATAAATCCCTATGTTCTGAGTGCTAAATTCTTGTGCCCCATACATATGTTGTTTGTTTTACTAGACTACATGTGAATGAAAAGAACAGCTGTGACCTCCCCTTCTACTTCGAAAGGGCTCCAACAAAAAACAAACACCCTCTTTAAGAAAAAAATCTTAACTGAATTCATTCATTCTGCACGTGTAAGGACCCACAAAAGTATTCCATGTTTTTCTTACATTCAGAATTAATAGTGAAGGGGCAGCTAAGGTAGAATTTCATACCTGTTTATATTTAGTTTTGGAGTTATCCCTTAATATTTCAGTTATACTGCATAGTTCACCACCACTGTTTTCTAATCTAGAACTAGACTCATTATAAACTGATATGGCGTTCATGTAAGACTGTAGCTGGGCTGAACCTTTGAGCTCAAGTAATGCCAATTCCTCTTTGTGTAATCTTCAGTTACCTAAAATACGCTATTAAAAGGATTTTTGTCTTTCCATATATAATTTTAACAACTCTTTGTTGGATTGGGTGTAATTTTTTAAGTGTAATCATTAAGCTGATCAAAGTATTTAATAAATTTATTTTTAATAAATTCACTAAAATTACTGCACCTGTACTGCAGGCTTATGTTGCTTTTATTACACCAAATTATTTCTTTCAAATAGCTAACAGTACACAAAAACTAGTGTGTTAAACTAATGCAAAACCCTACACAGTCTTATAGAGACTTAGTTTACGTCAAAAAATTAGACAATTAATCAGCGTAAGTTCTGAATGTGACCAAAACCTAATGATACACGTATTTCACCATAAAGCACTCACAGCAATTATCAACCAACTTCCCTTCTCAATGCTTCTTGGACTGCACACACTCCATCTTTTTTCCATCAGAAAATATAGATCTTCAAATACAAGCATAAATAATGAGAATATAACAACAAAACAAGAAAAAGGCCTCTGAACTCAGCTGGAGAATGAGGCTGTTGCCTCCCCAGCAACAAGATGGTGTTGATCAGCTTGCCTTTCTGTGAGGCAGCTGTTCACAGCTTCTGCTAAGCTTTGCACTCAGTATGGGACATGGAAGAGAGGAGATAGCAGTGCTGGGATAGGAGTCTGGAAACAGGAATATTGTAGCTCGTATTATGGTGCGGAAGGAGCTGAGGAAGGAAAATGCAACCAAGCCAATTGATTTGTGACTCACTGACACTGTGTATTTTATTTGCCTTGTTATTGGCCTGTGCACATTTGATGATCTCTGTCTTTCTGTCTTCTTCCACGTACTCCCACTGCTATGTAAGATTTCCCATGCATTCAACGACCCAGATGTTTCTCCTCCACCGACTGTCTTCCAATTTGACTGAGCAACTCCTGTGATTAACAGGCAAGAGATACACAAACAGTGTGCATTTTCAGTAACAAATTCTGCACCTCACTGAAAACTAAATTTTCATTAAAATATTTTTAAACATTTAGTTAGTAGATGACTGATTTGGTGTCTACTATTTTTTAAAATTTTTGTATGTAATCATATTCAGAGAAATTGAAATTCTATGATGAATTATCAAAGTCCATTACAGAATCTCTGCCTTTTAATACTAAGTAACAGAAAGATTGCTCATGTGTATCACTGCCTGGGGAGATACAGGAACAGGCAAAGAAAGCAAGTGGAATATAGCTGTAGCTGGCTGTGCTCATGTAATTCAAATATTTAATAGCCAAATGTTACTAACAATAAAAAAGCAATAGCAATCTAGTCTGTATCAAAGGATATATTTGAACTCCCTGGGAAAGTTTTGGCTTAAGCTTATGAGGTATGTGTTAGTCGAAAAGAAATACACAAAAAAAGGTAAATATGTTCTGAACTATTTTACCAACAAAGAGGAGGGAAGGGTGCAGGAATGACCTACACAGTTCTGTACTTTGTTCTTGAAACAAGCAGAGTAACTTCCTTCAAAGCACATGCTGTGAACTGCACAGTCTGTGAGAAGAGCCCAGGCCTGCCCAGATACTCAGATCAGTTCATCCTGCCCAACTGGAGTCACATCATGTCAGTGGACACATCAGCTTAACGCACAAAGCAGTGATAAGAATGTATTCATCCAGCTGAGAGAAAAGTGCAGTATATCTCTCTGTGTCATTTTCTTCCATGTTCTTCAAACACAGTTACATAAACCCAAGCCACATTTCCCTCTTACTGTGTGGCAAATATAATCCTCTCTCTAATAAAATAATAATAAAAAAAATCTACATCTGAAAAAACATGTTAAATAATTTGCAGGCATGATTAATAGTTCTGCTGACGAGTAAAAATCTGGTTAGAGCAGCTAGAGTATGATGGATTTTTAGGAGCAGGGTAAAGTTTGTTTGATTCTCTGTAACTGAGTGTCCTCAGCTGAACCTACCAGTCCTTTGCTGTGTGAGGATTATAACTCACGCTGCAGTTGGATCAGCCTCCGTTTCTATTTTTAGTGCAGATCTTGCTCCTTATTTAGTCCTGATTGCATAGCCAGAACTGCATTCTCAGCAGCTCAGTGAAAAGCCTGCCTGTTCCATTTTATAACTTTTCCAGACAAAGAGATGGGATGCCGGTAGCTTTCCAAACAGTCTTATTTTAGGAGCTTGCAACATGATACAGTCCAAAAACCCAAGGGCCGCATGAATCCCTGCTGAAACACTATAGACTTTCCTGTAGTTTTACACAGTAAGAATTTGGCTGCTTCTAAGTTAACTGAGATATTAAAAAAAAAAAAAACCAAACCAAAACAAAACACACCAAAAAAAAAAAAAAAAGAAAACCCATCAAACAACCAAAACCAAACGCCCAAATCCCCAAAAAACCTTCTTCACCCTAAATGCTAAAAAGATTTTTATTGAAACAGTAATATACATCTGGATCAAATTCTCCAGAAAACATTTTATCCTCCTCAGATTCATAATTTATAAATCCAATTCATGGAGGCAACTACTAGCCAAAAAAGAATTAAACAAGCAAAAATGGAAAATGTTGGTTTAAAAGAATCTCTTAGCAGGGATGACCACACAGAAGTAATTTTCTGCCACTCAATTAAAACCATAAGAACATTCTTGGTTTTGAACGAAGTTTTCCCAGTACAGCAAGGAGTTTCTGTAATTCTGTTGCAATCAGCTACAATGCTTCACCTTCACTTCTAGGATTTGTTTCTGGAATATCTCTTCAATCAAAGATACTTAGTAAGTTATATTTCCATGTTTTGCAAGTAAGCGCATGACTAAAACCCAAGATTAAGATGATCAAGGCCATTGTGAGGCTCTAACCATACAAAATATAAAAAATCTACACTGATAATACATGTAAAATACATTTTTATCTACATGTACTGAAACACAATGTCAGTAATGGATCTTGTTTCCACGTGTGAGGATACTTTGCATCTTACCATACAGTGAAATTACACATATGTACAAACAGGTCTTTTGTTCCAAACTCAAGATAGTTATATCCTTGCATGCACAGACCTCTTCTTAGATGTAATCCTAAACCCTTGCTGTCCCAACCTGCCACAAATCCCTAAGGAATTGTTATGCTGGTCAGGCAGTGGTCACTGAATTCTCCCGTCTTTATTGTACATGTAAGGATATCCGGCACTCCTCCTGTACTGGGGAGATTGATTGCAGATGGAAATTACCCTCAACTGCCCCTGTACTCAGGCTGTTGACTAGTCCTTTCTTGCCACACTGGGAACACAAAGGCAGATTTAAAGAAAATTAACTGGGGGGTAAAGAATGAAAATCGGTGAAGAGAAGCATGGACTAATATATTCTCATTGTAAATTCAGTAATTTAATTAGCCCCCAGTAAAACACTGGACAAATAACAAAGCCAATACAAAACAGAAGGGCCATAAAAATTATGTATTCAGCAGGCCTGCATTTGCATACTCTGTGTTCCCCAAATATCCTACTGATTCTGTGAAAATGGAGAATATTTCAAATATATGAAGTCAAGTTCTGTATCTTGATTTAAATTACAGGCTTGAGAGAGAGAAGTTGAATGCCACGAGAAGTGCTAAAGATCACTATCTGGAAGGCAGGAGGTTAGAAACTGAAAGAACTGGAAGTCATTAACTGAAAACAAAAGACCCAAGTATTTGAAAGCCTGTTCATCCTAGCAGTTCTCAGAAACATTGCACTCTTGTGCCCGAAGGGGAGACTACTGAAATTTGGGTATTTGAAATATGGACTGTATTGGCTGTGTTTCTCAGTGTGACACATAAAATTGAAACACATAAAGAAAAATATAATACAAAAATACTGGCACCTAGGTGTCAATGTGTAAATCGAGGCAACGAAATTGTGACGTGTGTGTCTACAAATTAGGAACAAAAATTTACACATGACCATTGTGACAGAAAGGTATTTAAGAACAGAGCTTTATTCTCAAAAAGTCACTCGGATCTTTTTTTTTTTTTTTTGGATTACACTGAAAGAGACTGAACTGCACATGAAATCATTCAGAAAATGCCTAAAAATGTAACAAAGCCAGAGACTAAGATAACTTCCTTTGAGCCCTTTTCAAGAAAGAGTTTTTGAGCTGGCACATGAAAGAGGAGCCCAAGAAGCTGATACTGAACTGCAAGGGTCCAAGACATAGTGTGGAAGTCTGTATACCTTTATGAGCATATACCATATTCCAGGAGACTTGGAAAAGTCTTCCACAGGGAGATTCTAGTATGGAATCACGACAAGATTTTCTCTAGCAAGCCTCTGGCATGAATTTTCTTATGAAACACCATAGCATAGTGCAAAAAGTATCGAATTACCCACAACAATTCTGGACATAATTTTTAATAAAAAAAGTGACTGCTGAATCCATTTGGAAGAAAAGCTGTTCTAAGTGTATATAGCTTTGTTTGTAATTCAACACTATAAAGAGTATCCGAACAAATTATTAGTATTTCATGTCTGATGTAATAAGTGTTTCTGTATTTTCAGTTAAGAGTGACCAATTCTGTGTTTTGAATTAGGAAATCTGCATAACATTAAAATAAATTACTCAAGTGCCATTTGAAATCAAAATGAAGTAGGTCACTTTGAAGTCAGCTTTGATGGGCAGTTTTGTTGTTGGTGTTGGGTTTTTTTTCAAATGAGAGCATGAGTCTGTTCCCTCAGCACCACTTAATCACTGGTAACTTTCATGAAGAGCAAACAAAAGGCCTCTTTTATTTATCCATTATGTTCCTAAGAGGTGAGAACAGCTTGATGCAAATGAAAATCATTAAAGCATTCTGCACTACCATTAACTGTCTGAATATCTGTCTATGCAAATGCAGCACATTACCCAGTGAAACTGCAGCCTCATGACCTTCCGCATTGAAAATCTATGCCTTATGACTCTCTTAAAAGTTAAAATGCTCTCTCTGACGTGCCTTTCTATAAGTGCCAGGTTTGGACAGGCATGATAATGGAGTGCAAGCCATTACACAGAAACATATTCAGTTTCAGATACCCCTTCACCTCCTCACCCTGACTGGGCAAGGGGTAACATCAGATATATCTGATTTGCAACAATGCTACAGGACGAATAATAAGCTAAAATGTGATTGCTCAGATATAATCCTGCAAGCAATTACACCCATAACTTCACTCAAATGAGTAGTTCCATTTAAGACACAATGAACATATAATAATGCAAAACTGTAAGTGGTTTGTAGGATTAGAGGCCTAATTAGATATAAAACCTACTGACCTAGTTCTTTAGAACTTTGTCCTTCATGTAGCCATTTATGCCCCATATGAACAGTGCACAGAACACAGCTATTCTCTCTACGTATCATGCCACCTGATTGAAAAAGATGGGTGAATGTATGAACTAGAGAGTTTACTCCCTCAACAGCAGTATCTAGCAACAGAAATGTACCACAACTCCTGCCTTCTTAAGAGCTTGAACCAGAGACATATTTATGACAGCCCAGACAGCAGGTTATGGAAGGACATTTACTGCTGTTCAGTCTGTCTCTCTCCTTGGCAAAATTTAGGTCAGGCACAATTTTGCACCTGCTGCCTAAGAGCTTTTCTAGAACTAAGTCTTGGCTGGGGTTAAGGACATCTCCCCCTCCTTTGGGACACATACTTTTGTTGCATACTTTCATGCAGCTGCAGAGTAGTTAGGAGACTGCATTATTAAACAGTAGCCGGATTCAGTAAATCGGATTCTAGGTTTTCCTTCGCTTGAAGGACACCAAACCAGCCTCTCCTGTCTTACAGACCTGGCACATTCCTAGGAGAGTGCCCCCATCAGCAGGTGGTTGCATGTAAAGCATCTCTTACCTTCAGTTCAGAATTCTGCCAAGCAGTGCTGAGGATTGGAAAACTTAGAGGCCAAAAAGAGTA